TGGCGTTAGTTAGTTATTTATCCATTATAGCTTACCAATGATTAATAAAAATGTAGTCGCTTTTGTATATTCCACACCTAGTTGAAAAATTTAAAAAAAAAAACACTTCTACAATAAAATAGTTCTAGTAATTGATGCGGTTATTTGCATATATAGACCACTAAAAGAATACTGACTGACGAAGTACCTACCTACAGCTGGGACGTGATTCTCAAAGGAATTTGAAGAAAACATTTTTTTTTTTTTTTTGCAACCGATATTGTTGATGCATAGATTTTTAACCTCTTGTTAAACTCATTCAAGGTCGGGGGCATTTTTATTTATAATATTGTTCTGGTTTTGTATAACTGGATTTTGAAAATATCCAATAATGTCTAATCTTATTCACTTTACCATCAACGCAAGAATACATAGAATACTCGTTATTGTAGGTAGGTACAAGAGAGTTATATTACTTGGAAAAGCTACAGATTGTTGGAAGACCTAATCAACAGCCTCAGAACAGGAACAGGATCCAGAATCGGAGCAGAACTGAGCAACGAAAACGAACAATGAGTATTAATATAATGGAACGTTCAAGGAATCTCTAGGAGAATAAATGAAGTGATATCAGATATCTAATATCAAAAAATGTTTCATAGAAACCAGAGAGCTCAGAAAATCTAGGACAATACGATCATTTCTACAGCTTGGTTCAAGAAGAATTCGGAGTAAAGAAAGGATTTTCGATTATGATAAATAGAAAATTGAGAAAACATATAACATCATGAGAAGTAGTAAACGAAACAATACCAAAATACTTATTAATCGACGAAGAGGAAGAAAAAGTAAAGACAAGGTTTTAGTGTAAAACAATGGCGAAAGGCTCATAGCAATATACCAACAAAGTAACCTAAACATTCTAATAAATAGATACCTACTTTCAGCAAAAAGAAATACATACTAGCCAACAGAAATCGATTTGTTGTAGTCGCTGCCACCAAGTGTTGTATCTGCTTGGCTGCATAAGAACAACTATTAACCGTTTTCGAATTTAAAAAACTTTACTATGTTCAGACTTTGGAAGTATCTTTACAATATTAAGGTTTATAAGGTAGAAAATAACTACTCGCAACGAAGTTTAAAAATCTAGTATCTTTCTATGTGAGTCAAAGTTCTATCTTAGTAAAATAATAAAATGGGGTGGTCTAAGCCAATAGAGGTTTTATGATTAAATAATTATTTACGCATGTACTTAGATAAATATCATAATAAAATTTAAGCACAAACAACCCTTATCTGGAGTCCAAAAGTAGTATGTATAATTAAATTAATTCACGAGATAACTAAACAATTATTGTTGAATGGGTTTGTTAACAAAATAAAGTTAAGATATGGAAAACCATAATAATACTGCAAGTGTTTGGATTAAGTTGATAGGCTATTCATGTATGGAGTTTGAGGGATCCCAAATGACCATTAGGAAACAAAATCTAAAATGGAAAACTTTGAAAGGTCATAACTTTTTTTCTATTACAGATACAAAGCTGAAATTTTTAGCGATTCTTATCCCAGTAGAGGACTACAATCTCTGAAAATTTCAGCTCATTTGGACTTATAGTACCTGAGATAAAATCGTGTTAAGCAATTTGGGGTGATTTATCAATTTTTCAATTTTTCTGAGTGCCTTTTTTCATAGATTTCGGCTTCAAATCTGAGAATAATTTAGTCTATGGAGTTTGGGGGATCCCAAATGACCATTAGGACACAAAACCTCCACAAAAAAAAAATTGAAATTTCATCGTTTTAGTAAGAAGGTACCTACCTACCTTATGATTTAGATTTTGGAAAACTTTGAAAGGTCATAACTTTTTTCTATTACAGATGCAAAGCTGAAATTTTCAGCGATTCTTATCCCAGTAGAGGACTACAATCTCCGAAAATTTCAGCTCATTTGGACTCATAGTTCCTGAGATAAAATCGTGTTAGTCAATAAGGGGTGATTTATCAATTTTTAATTTTTTCTGAGTGCCTTTTTCCATAGATTTCCGCTTCAAATCTGAGAATAATTTAGTGTATGGAGTTTGGGGGATCCCAAATGACCATTAGGACATAAAATCTCAACAAAAAAAAATTTGAAATTTCATCTTTTTAGTAAGAAGTTAGCTACCTTATGATTTAGATTTTGGAAACCTTTGAAAGGTCATCACTTTTTTTCTATTACAGATACAAATCTGAAATTTTCAGCGATTCTTATCCCAGTACACGACTACAATCTCTGAAAATTTCAGCTCATTTGGACTTATAGTTCCTGATATAAAATCGTGTTAAGCAATTTGGGGTGATTTATCAATTTTTCAATTTTTCTGAGTGCCTTTTTTCATAGATTTTGGCTTCAAATCTGAGAATAATTTAGTGTATGGAGTTTGGGGGATCCCAAATGACTATTAGGACACAAAATCTCAACCAAAAATTTGAAATTAGTTTTAGTAAGAAGAAGAATGATTTAGATTTTGAAAAACTTTGAAAGGTCATAACTTTTTTTCTATTATACATAGAAAGCTGAAATTTTCAGCGATTCTTATCCCAGTAGAGGTCTCTCTGGTCTAATCTGGTGATTTGTGAAAAACTTTTTGAAAAATGGCTATTTCCGGTGATTTTGAAATTTCATCGATTTTGAATAGGTATTTTTAACAATTTTCGAGAAACAGAAAACAGCAAACGCTCGACAGTAAACCCAACACGTCAGGCGTGTAATTAAAGTAAGTAAGGCTAACCTGTTTTTTTTTTCGGTGATTCATAAACTCTTATGGGATTCGCCACAATCGCCATTTGCCAAAGAATTTTCCCGACCCATACCTACATATATTACAATCATTACATTTAGTACCCAGTATTGTTCTGTTCTTGTTTTGGTTATTATCATTTTATTCCATCGTGAACTCGCTAATCAATTAACGAAATATACTATTAGGTACCTCTACGCTTTTTTGTAATTTATATTTTTGAACGTATGTACTACATAGGTTCATTGTAAGTTTATGAAATTAGCAGTAGGTAGGTATAAACATAATATACTGTCGAACCTGGGAGTTATAACATGAGGGGGTGAGAATCAAAACTAAAGCCAAGTACAAAAATAGGGAACTGTATTCAAAATAAAGCTTACCACAAATACATTTCAGATATGGGCATGGGCATATGGGGGCATTGTTCCCTGAAACCCATGAACCTTTCTTGGAAGATGATTGAGTTTAATTATTCGAAGGGAGATGCCCTTTTATCCTAGATACGCCAATACTAATCATCATATTGAAAAATGGAAATTTGTTTTGTTGAAAAATATACTTTTTTATAATAATCCTGCCCTTAATTTCGGTAGGTAGGTACCTATTTAAACTTTTGAGTAATTCAAAACTATACGACCATAGTGACCATACAATCAGAGAAAAATTATTCAATTTGTACTTAGGTGGGTGCCAAGAAAATGATATACTACACTCGCCCAAATTTATATGGAATCACCGAATATTTTCGCTGAAGAATTTTTCGCTAAAAAATTAGTTGCTGGAAATCAAGATACAGTTTCTTTAATCGATTTTTATTGGAAAAATCATTGAAAATCCATGAATCACATTTTATTATAATATGAATTAACTAAAAAGCCAATTTTACGAATATGCGTGATTCCATATAACTTTGGGTGAGTGTATTCTACATTTGTCACCGCATCAAGAAATTTTACTTAGTGAATTGTGTTTTAATAAATACTTCAATTGTTAGTCAGTTTTATTAAAAACGCATTTTTTCGTTAACAACTCGTAATATACAGCCTGAAAAATCAACTTTCAAGATTTCTGCTGATTTTTTTTCTAAATCTGGTGATTTTTCATTCCAATTTCCGGTGAATTTAATTTTTTTGACCTGGCAACACTGCGTATATTTTGACTTCAAATCTGAGAATACGGCCTACCGAAAATCTTTATCCCTGGGAAAAACATCGCAAGGGAAAAAGGAAAGGAAAAGCGAGAAGACAAGATGCGCATAGGAAAGACAACCTAAAATCTCTAGATCAACAAAGGTTTATACATGAAAAGTATAAACCAAAAATTACAAAGTAATCTGAACTTCCAAACAAAAAAATGCATGCAGCATATCACAGTGTTTTTTAGTCTAAGGAAAATACGAAAATATTGAAAAAACACAAAAACCCTATTGGTGGGATCAAGAAATCGAGGAAGACATAGCAGATCAAACGAAGAATATAAAGATGAGAGCATAGAAAGTTGGAGAAAGTTGGAGAATAATGAAAAACATCTTGTCGACAAAAACCAAGGATATTATTAACACGATATCAATTATTGATGTGACACTAGCCTCAAACCATATGAGTAATTACGTCACAAACTGGTATGCATCTGATGAAGCAAGTTGCTCGAGTCAGAGATACATCAAAGAACCCCGCACAAACCTTATGGAAAATGGCTTTCTGTCAAATTGGCGGAATTTTTGAGATTGGGTAGATTTCGATATCCTGATTAAAAGTTATCATTGCGTAAAAATGATTCCATAAATTCCATTCCAGTTTTTGAGTCAATGGGCCTAAAAAATAATGGAAATGCATGTAGTTTAATAGGCTCAACGCTATCAATCGATTCTAAAATAGCCAAAAATGAGCACCTACCTATTAAGCTACATGAATTTCCAATACCATCTTTTAAGCCCCTTTACCTACCTACTCAAACACTGTACATGGAATCATCTTTGCGCAATGATAACTTTTAATCAGAATATGGAAATCTACCCAATTACAAAAATTCAGCCAATTTGACAGAAAGCCATTTTCTATAAGGTTTGTGCGAGGTCCTTTGAATTTTTTTCATTAACTTCTCAGAACTCTCGAATGACAGAGACAAATACTCATTAGGACATTTTGAAGTTGCCTCCTTTATAAACAGTTTGATTAAGTAGATCACGTAGGTAGGTACTTTATCGTGGAGAAAAAATTATAAGCAAGTAAACAACTATCGAATTATTTTTATTGTAGTGGGAATAAAATATGTATGAAAGCATTAAATCTAAGCTAGGTATCTCAGGAAACTCAGTAATGGTGCAATTAAATGGAGCATCCCCTATACTTAAACAATTTTATCTTCGTTTAAACTAAAATGTAACCCTGAAAAATCATAAATACAACAAATGATTTCCATTTATATAAAACTCACTTACATCTGGAGCTTTTTCTTGATAACATTTATGAGTGAGCCAAGCATTTTCACAAGCATTTTTACCAACTAAAAAAAAAATAATCAAATTACCTCATAATTATACTACCTTCTTCTGTCATACTTATTGTGCCACAAGCATGGACAACGGGCGTAGCTTCTGCTTGGAATTCTTCCGGCAATACTGCAATTACGGCTTCTTCGTCTATAATTCCATCATCGTCAATCTAGAAGAATACTCATTTTTAATTTTCATGTCACTGGATTTTTAATTGTCTCGAGGTTACTTACGCAAGCCATTTGAGCCATCAAGCATTTGACATAGCATTTTAGATTTTCGTCATCTACAAAGACTTTTTCTTTGTTGACTTTTTCGATCAGTTCTAAAAAAAATCGTATTGAGAGGTTCAAAGTGTATTTGAAAATTTTTCAGAGATGATTTCTGAAAAGGCTTGATTTTCAGTAGCTGGACGTAACGTAACATAGGCAAAGTGCATAGTACATACGCAGCTAGGTACAGGGTGTTTTTTAATATATTGACGTCCCACCTACAGCCTTTACCTTTACAGATAAAAGAAAGGTATGAATACAAAAGTTGTACAGTTTTGGCTGAATTTTTAGAAACCATGAATTTGAATGTCAGAAATGTGAAATTTTGCATGCTTCCAGCTTTTTTCAAATGGGGTGCCCCATATTTCATTCTATATTCCTGAAGAGCACAATGCCCCGATTCCAAAAATATATAGTTTGTCTATATTTGATTGAACAGTCTCTCATATATTCGGCTCCAAAAATTGTAAAAATACTATCCTACTACTGATTTTGTGAACCATTCTACCTGTGCAGGTAAAATTTAAGGTACTTGGTTTCTCTGATTTGTCAATTTGCCTTTCAACAGGAATAAGTAATGTTACTTTAGCAAACTAGTAACATAACGTGACAAGTTATTCAAGCACAAACTTATGGGTGGACCTCTGCGGGACGAGCGCAGCGAGTTCCGCAGCCATCTACTCACCAATATACTGTTGAACTATTCAAATAAGACACTCACCTGAAACTTGTAGTTTCATCTATTCATTAATATGTTGTTCAAGTACGATACTAACCTGACTCACTCAAATGTCAGTTATTCTCATTAGTTCAAAAATTACACGTTTCAGGTGAGTGTCTTATTTGAATAGTTTAACAGTATATTGGTGAGTAGATGACTGTCCACCCATAAGTTCCGCAACAATCCACTTATTTGTACTTGAACAAGAACTTATTATATAAAGTCAGAATTTGTAAGATTATTCACTTTTTGTCAATTTGCCTTTTAACAGGAATTTGTAATGTTACTTTACCAAACTAGTAACATAATGTGTCAAGTTATTCAAATACAAATGAGTGAATTGTTGCGGAGCTTATGGGTGGACCTCTGCCATCTATTCATCAATATGTTGTTTTATTACGATACTAACCTGACTTACTCAAGTGTGAGTTATTCTCATTAGTTTAAAAGCTACACGTTTCAGGTGAATGTCTTATTTGAACAGTTCAACAGTATATTGGTGAGTAGATGGCTGCGGAACTCGCCGCGCTCGTCCCGCAGAGATTCACCGATAAGTTCCGCAATAATCCACTTATTTGTACAGGGTGTTTTTTATATATTGACACCCCACCTACAGCTTTTACCTTTAAAGGTAGAAGAAAGATGTAAATACAAAAGTTGTACAGTTTTGGCTGAATTTTTAGAAATCGTGGTCAGAAACAAAATTTGAACGTCAGAAATGTGAAATTTTGCATTCTTCCAGCTTTTTTCAAATGGGATGCCCTATATTTCATTCTATATTCTTAAAGAGCACAATATATGCCCCGATCTATATTTGATGGAGCAATCTTTCATATATTCGGCTCCAAAAATTGTAATAATACTATCCTACTACTGATTTTGTGAACCATTCTACCGGTACAGGTGAAAGCTGCAGGTAAAATTTGAAGTAGGTACTTGGCAAAGGTATAGAATTTTTAATACCTATTTAGAAGTACCAGTCGTTCTAGTGCTTAGACAAGGAAAGAGAGAGGACGCGTAACATCCTTTACCTGCACTAGCAGCTGGTTGTGACCGTTTGCCACCAAATAATGGCGACAATTTTTCATGGTGCCACTATGTGAATTTTACTTCAGACTAACATTTTTGTGATATTCAGCATGGTGGATTGCTAGCGTATGGCTGCAAAACCCGCAGAGAAAAAAAAGTCGATGGGATTACATTTAACAGGCAAAAAACAATAAGCTTTCTAGGTTATGTTATCAAAAAAGCAGACATTTTTTGGTGGCAAACTGCTTCATTTTCACCTGCTGTGTTACGAGTCCCCTCTCTTTCCTTGTCTATGTTCTAGTGAATAAACGTATGTCGCTTCTTGAACAGACAAATAAAATTAGGTTAGGAATTTCCTATTTGTACATGAATTTGACGTATTAGCAATCGACATTCGTTTTTGTTGGTAATTTTTTGTTTCATCTGATTCGTGATTATTAAATAAGGATGGGGTTATTCTAAATGGGTACTAAAAATACTAAACTTGGTTTCTCTGATGGTATTTTTAAAATTTTTAAAACCAGATACGTTGGACACGGTTCAGCCAAATGCAGACAAACTATATAGTTTTGGAATCGGAAAATTGTGTTCTTCAAGAATATAGAACCAAATATAGCGCATCTCATTTGAAAAAAGCTGAAAGCATGCAATATTTCACATTTTTGACATTCAATTTTTATTTATGTAAAATTTAGCCGCTACTGTACAACTTTTGTATTTACACCTTTTATCTGTGGCTGTACATAAGTATCTGAATGTACATAAATATCTGAATGTACCTACATGAATTTCACGGCATAGAGTCATAAAGAACCTCGCACAGCTCTTATGGGATTTGGGACTTCCGCCAAATTTAACCAGATTCTAGTATGATCTAAATTTGATCTTTCTGATTAGCATTGGCACAACTTAATCCTATGACTAGTTTTTGAGATACAGGTAGTTTAATGTCCAAGAAATGTACACATTTTCATGCATTCACATCTACCTGTCACCTGAGCATTCTTTGCCTGAGCGTAAGGATACCTGACCATCCTGAATCCTGGTATATTATTAGATGACAGGTAGATCTAAATGCATATAAAATGTGTAGATTTCTTGGATATTTAACTACCTGTATCTCAAAAACTAGTCATAGGATCAAGTTGGGCCAATGCTAAGTATTGATCAGAAAGGTCAAATTTTTATCATACTAGAATTTGGTTAAATTTGGCGGAAGTCCCAAAACCCATAAGAGATGTGCGGGGTCCTTTAGCTCTCAATACAAAGTGTATTGTATTTTCATATAAGTGAGACGAATCTACTAAATGGGTAATCTTGAAACAGAATGTAATTGTGATTAGTTAATTCTATTCAGCTGATTTGTTGATAAACGGATATCATCAGTGTGTGATATTTGCGGAATCGTCAAAACATCTCCATATCTCTATTGAGAAAATCGAGGAATAGCGCATTACATTTAGAGAACATCAACGCTCTTGAGATAAATTGCCCAGAAAATGTGTGTCTGTAATATTTTTTAGTTTTTTTGCAAGTTCCCATTTGTTACAATAAACTCCTATAAGTTAACTACCTTCTGCTACTCCAGTTTCATCCACACAAGTCTTATGAAGCATTTGGGCCAACTCTTTCATTTCATCTGACATTGCCTAAAAATTAGTTTGGCAAGGGCTTTTTCAATTTAATTAAATAATATATACTTACCAGACTCGATGGTAAAAAACAAAAACTAATTAACGGAGTGACCACCACGGCCACTATCCATGGTACCATCATTAACATCAATGTTTCCATCGATTGTATTGTGATACATCAAAATTCGTGTTTATGAAAATTTTAATTATGAACTGAGATAATTACTAGGTAAATTTGGAGTTAATTAAAGCTCGAATGTTAATTATAGAAAAGGACATGGTTATTATAAAGGTAAACTGATAATGAAAGGGGAAAAAGCAATAATGTGGAATTTTTGTTGAAAAAATACATAATTGGAAATTTGATGTTTCAATATTAACTGGAAAAAATCACAGACTCTTGAACTTTCAGAGAAATCAGTTAGTCCTAAAACAGTAAAATCTGCCCTGAAAAAATTGAAAATGAGATTTTTGATTTGGAAAAAAATTTAAAAAAAAAGTACTCAACTTTGAGACAGATACATTCCTAGTCCGAATTGTAGACAATGTTCAAAATTGATTGTTTTTCAATTTTTCATGCAACTCAACTTTATCGACCCCCCTCCGTAGCAAATGCAGAAGTGTTAGAACAATAATTTCACTATTGTACGGACTCAGTGGGATGGTACCCTCTGATATAGGAAAGGCTGAAGCTTTTGCAGATATTTAAGAAATAAGACAAGAAAATAACACTTTTGAGAATGAGATTGATCAATTGGCCGACAGACTACGTAAACTGGAAACGCAGAGGCGTAGGAATCACGTCAGGGAATTCAGAGATTTTAGATACGGGCTCTTTAAAGTGGCTTATGGTCAGATAAGATTGTAAATCTCTCTCCAAGTATGGTCTAAAGTATTTAGTTGCCCATACTATAGCTAGTAATTCTTTTTCAATCGTGAAATAATTGCATTCCGCAGGGTTTAGTGTACGATTTGCGTAAGCAATTGGTAACTCCGAACCTACCGATCTTAATAGCATAGTTTCATGCGTCTGTACTTTGTTTTGGATTTGGTTTAATACAATTTGGGGTTATTAAATGTCCCAACGGTTCCACCGATTTCTTTAGGAATTCGAATTTGTCTAATTGTATTTTTAGATTGAATTGTCCTAATCTTTCAAATATCTTTTTAAGATTTGCAATATGTTCTTGAAGAGAAGTGGAAAATATTATGATATAATCCATGTAAATAAGACATATCTTGTTTTGTAGTCCTATAAGTACGTTATCCATTACTCTCTGAAATGTCACGAGGGCATTTTTCAATCCGAAGGGCATACGAGTAAATTTATAATGTTCATTTCCTACATTAAAAGCTGTTTTGTTTATCATGTTTGGATGCATTTCAACTTGGTCAAACTAGAAGCTTATATTCTAGAATGTTTGGTAATGAGTTTCTATCATCAATAATTTTTTCATCTACCCAGTCTCTATTTTTGAATGCGTGAAGCATCTAATTTTTTAGAGAGAATCCTTATTGGGAATGACCATGGACTTCAAGAAGGTCGTTCAATATTTTCTTCTAACATTTTTTGAATCTGTTTATTCACTTTTTGTTTATGGACATATGTGAACTGGTATTTCGCGCAGAACCATTGAGTGGATGACTCCAGGAAGAAATTGATCTTATCTACCACTAGTGCATCAACGAGATTAATGCACATAAGAGCCAACCTATCCTTTAAATTTAATAATGTGTAATTCTTCCTAAGAAAATATACAAAAACAATCAAACATTTGTTGCTGAAACAATTTATTGATCAAAGATAACAAGATGTCAGAAAAATCCATTGGACCGCGCGGTTTAGATTAGAGCATACATCTGAAAAACAAACAATAAACTCCCAAACTAAAAAAAAAAAAACTAAATGCAAATTACCGTTGGATCAGTTTCGTAATAGCATTTGTGGGTGAGCCATGCATTTTCACAAATATTTGCACCTTCTGTAAAAAAATAATAGGTAGTTTAAGCCTTGCATAAGACACGGAATATTTTTTTTTTCACTAACTTTTTGATCCACATTTCCTGATAATCGGTGCTGTTTTTTCTTGAAATTCCTCAGGCAAGACAGCTATCATGGCTTCCACATCAATTTCTCCCGTATCGTTGTCTATCTAAAATTGACATGATCAAATCGAATATCAAAAAATAATCGAATAATATTCTACAGAATAATGGAAAATTATTTTTACGTTCCTTTTCGTTTACCTAAGTATTTTGGATTGGATTTTTTTAGATACAAACTGTTTTTCTGTTTCTTACCACTGCCATTTGTTCCAAAAGACACTTGATGTAACATTTGAAACTTTGATCTTCAGAGAAAATTCCTTTGTTAGCGTTTTGAATTGCATCTAGAAAAATTAAGATGTTGCCAGGATTAATTAAAAATATATTGCTTGTATGTCAGAAACAGCGAGTTTACTTGGAGTTGGATGCTATATCATATTATGTTGAAGATGTACTCAAACCAGCAGAAGATTTGACCCATAAAACGGCTATTTACCAAAAAACCATTGGTACAAATAAAAGTTAAGTTTAAAATTTGACTGGTATAGAAAGGGGTTGTGCACAGAAAGAATTATTTATAACTATGATGAAATTTATTCACCAGTGGTAAAAAGGGCAACAATAAAAACTTTTCACCCATTGAAAATCAATTGAAATTCTACCGTGTTTTTGAATGGTGCGAGTTGAAGGAAAAAATATGCGTTTGTTCCCCAAAGAGGGTAATAGGTAGGTATATAATCTTCCAACTGATTAGAGCGATTTATTTTGAAATATTTCTACATTTTCGAAAATATATTTCATTTCAATGAAATGGTTGAAGAATATAAAAAAATTTGACAATAAGGTATAATATAATTAAATATACATTTTTCATAGAGCAAAGTTACTTACATGTCTACCTATAACTTAATCTTTTCAGGTAGGTAGCTTCCTAGTTATTTTTAATAATTTTTTGATATATTTTAAAAATTAAATTAAATTATTTGTTGTTGGAAATTAATTTTCCTTCTCGCATGTAACAAAGGCTCTATACTACTGATGTAGGTAGATTAGTGACTTAAGGTAGAATTAATAAGTAAAATTCTTACCATTATTTGTGCCAGTTTCTTCTACACAAGTTTTATGTAACTGAGCGGCCAGTTCTTGCATTTCTTCACTCAAGCCCTATAAATAGTAGGTACATTAGTGAATAAAGATAATAATTCAAGAAATTATTTTTACCAAAACGTTGGGCAAAATCAGCAATAATCCAAAAATCGCTGGTAAAATCATGATTTTCGATAACACCGAATTGACAACTGAAATACGCTGCCAACTATAGTGCAGACATGACAAAATTTTGATTTATAATGCCCGGATAAGACGTTTTATAAATGTTTAAAAAGGTTTAATAGCCTATAATTTCTCAACGGTTAATAATAATTGTAGGAAGGAACTAACATTACAAGGGGCGTAGATTCACCGTATAACCATAAGCAAATTATTCGTTCAAATTCGTAATTTTATAATTTTGTTGTTTTGGTTTTGTGTGATTATATATGAAAAAAATAAATAGTGTCTATTAGTTCAAATTTCAAATTTGCAGTTTTCTAGATTTTCAGAATAGGATATAAACAGAAGTTCATTTATAAATAATTTTTGTTTTATATCAAACACACTAAAATATTGTGTGTAATTTGCATGTATAGGCAATTTAGTTAGTTTTGTATATTTGTCTGAAGTTTTGAAATAAGTAGTAGTATGCCTACTTATCTGTTCATATAAAATCCATTCATATTTTTGCCGTCTGAGTGAAAAAACTTTGTACTCCATACCTATTATTAAAATTAATACAAGGATTCAAACATAATTCTTTCAAATAAATATGTCTAATTAAGGTTTGATGGCAGGCAGGCAACGTACAATTTGATTTTGTTGTTTTTTTTTTTTGTAAAAGGAAGTTATTAATTGTACGAAATTTGCGATTATCAGTGGTTATTTCAGTTTTTTTACCATGATATATGTTATTTGTGTTTAATAGGTACACGAAAAAGGTTTTTTAATTTAAAATAATGGGTTGCTTTGATTACGAAAACGTACGTCGCATTACTGTTTCTTCATTGGTCAAGATTTTTGACATGACATTTTGACATTAAAGTTCATTGACAAAATTGAAGAAAAATATTACTAAGACATACGTTTAAAAACCCATAGCAATCTTTGATTGGTTTTTTTTTTGAAGACCCGATATAAACATCAACTCATTCTATTTGCAAGGTGAATGCTTGTTACAATCCTTAAAAAGTTACTCAATTTTACTTGAATTAAAATAGTAATTTATCATTTTCCTGACTGTCAGACCATCAAATAAATGTTACTGTCTCAGGCCTCTCTACTTATGGACTGAAGCCTGAGAAGGCTTATTGTGCTTGGCCTGACACGAGGTTGATGGTGATTGCATGAAATATTATTGAATGTTCCATCATGCTGTTTGACGCGAATTGGAGCCCCTTGCGATTCAGGACTATTTGTTCGAGCCTTTAAAACCCTTAGCACTTGAAAACTCTATCATTATGAAGCGATAAGTAGGTATTGCCTCAGAGATGAGCTCAGTACCTATATATAGGTACTGTGTGACATAGAAATTGCAACACCCCAGTAAATGTAAATATATTTTATTAATATTTTGGGAACTAGTTGGGATAAATATGAATAACAATCGATGACATTTTCAAACAAATTTATTGAAAGGAATTCTTAACAATTCAACAGTGAGTTGCGCCTCCACGTAAGTTTTGACATTCTGTTACTCTTCGTGGCATCCTGCGAATCAGGTGATCATGTTACGATAAATTTATCATTTACGTAACATGTTCCATCTCTTCTTATTTTCATTATAAAGTTGTATTTTTGCCATTTCAGAATCAGCAAAATAATAATTCATAATCTAAGTATTCTAAAAATATCCACAAAGTTCGATATAATACCAGTACTGCCATCTATCCATCATGTGCATAAAATGCAAATATCTATTATTAAATGAAGGTACTGTCACCTAGTACCTGATGGATTTATTTTTCAAAGTTTGATTTTAATTATTTCGCATTTGACAGTCATTTGTATGTTCATTTAAAGAAATTATATTTATCTCCTCACTTTTAGCAAATGGATATATTTCTGTCTTTCTCTAACTTCTGATTCTGAAATAATGATTTTTTGGCCTAATGACCTAATTAATTAGCAGTTTTTTGTTTTTGACATAACCTTAATTTAAATTATTATAATTTGTAAACAATTAAAATAATTTTAGTGGATTTTTATCTATTCTCTTTTATTCCACGTGGTTTTTCATTGTGAAGTCATTGTAAAGTTAATATGGTCTTTTGGGTGTACTCTTCTGATTGGTTGAACTGGTTAAAACGCAGTGGAGTATAAAAAACACAGAATTGTTTTCCTGTGGGGTTTGGTTTCTAAAGCGTTCTCTTTTCTTGACAGTAGTCTAGCAGGCGAGTCATTTTTATTTTTAATAATTTTTGCTTTACATTTTTAGATTCTCCCTTATAAACTTTTCAATAAATTTTGCTATCAGTGCATATTAATTCATATCATTGTTAAGTTTTTACCTAATAAATCTTATCTATTCTTGAAATCTAAAAATTATATTTTAATTTTTATCTAATTGTGGCCCTCCATTTTATGCGATTGCCGGTGGCTCCACGTTTTTTGAGGTAAGTCAATTCAGATTTTTGTGCTAATAGATAGGTACTGCTGCTCTGGTTTTCAGAATCAATTGTTAGTGTGGGAATATTGAACCATTTGCTCTAAATAGAATCGGTGAAAACCAAATTTGTGTGTCCATCCCTATCAACTCTTTATTGAATCCAGGCAGAGGCCTGTATAGCCATTTTCTGTTTGACTCCATCAATTATTATCTTCTCGAGGAGAAGAGTGTTGAAAAGGGTGTAATTCTGTGAAATAGAAATTCAGACAGGTCAAGAATTCATTTAAAAAGTTTTAATTAAAACATCTCAAGAATTTTGACATATTCTGGATTTGATTGATTTCACCGTCAGGTTTATCTTGTAGTATCTATAGTAGCTACCTTAATTTAAAAGGAAAATTTTGTCTATTTGGGGGAAAATCTGAAGATTTAATTTCTTATTGTTTTTATCTTATTTTCTTCATATTCTTGCCTGTTATTGCTACTGCCAGAAAAGCAGCACTCTGCTCAACCTGTAGGGAGCATTTTAATTTAATCTATTTTTATGATTATTTTTCAATTATTTAATTGTATTTTTTTTATATTAAAATATATTTTTTTTCAATTTGCAATAGTTGTTCATACCTGATTCTATTCTAAGGGAGTGTCTGCACAACAATGGTTTTATATTAAACTTATTTAATATTAATTTTTTGTTCTTTAGAAGACACTCATTTTTTGACAGAATTCAGGGATTTAATATTCCAAATCTTGGTGAAGTTTATACTGCCTTATTCTTTTCTGGGTACCTACTCGACATAAAGATCACTGTTTGGAGTTTGGATCAGCTGGAGTGACGTCACCCTAGCAATCTATCTTCTTTCCTGAATACAGGAAACAACACGAAGAGCTCCATTTCACGAAAGTGAAAACCCAACATCCCTTGAAGAGAGAGCGGATTGGAAAGGTACACTATATCAGATTCACCTGAACAACCAAGTTGTCAACTGTAAAATTTTACAGAAAGTAACATTGACTGGTACTACATGTTATTACATAACATTGTAAACAAAATAAAATAATTGTTTGTTGGATTTTGAGTGGTTTCATTTGCACATAAAGGGGCTACATATTGTCTTAATTTTTTCAATTTCATGACCCTAGGTTCTCTTATCTTAAAGTTCAAATAACCGGGTTTATTTGTAACAATCGATATCTGCCTGGTGGCAAAGTTTACCTGGTGGTGGGTTCTCCCAAACTAATCTTACCTTTTGACGTAGACGTTGTACATCCAATACAAGATGTGGCAACTCCCTCAGCCTTCTACCTATCACATCCCAGACATGCTCAATAGGTGATAGAACTGGTGACCTTGCGGGCCATGGAAGAAGGATTATATTAGCTTGTTGGAGGAATATTCTAGTAACTGCAGCAGTATGTGATCTCCCATTGTCTTGTTGAAAAATTGGATCTTGCTTGTAATACTTCCTTATTGTAGGATTAAAAAACTCCATTAAAATAGGATTGAGCATTCATGTTTCTATCTTAAAAAACTAGAGGTGACCTGTTTCCAACTGCTATGACACCCTAAGCCATAACGCCCCTAGTAAGCGCAGTCTCACGCTCCATGCAAAATTGAAGTTGGTACCTTTCTCCACGTCTGCGATGGACTCTTCTACGTTGCCCTATACCTTCAGCAACTGCAAGATCCAAGCTTTCAACAAGACAATAATGGTCCACTTACTGCTGTAGTTACTAGAAACTTCCTCCAACAAGCTAATGTAACCCTTCTTCCATGGCCCGTAATGTCACCAGACTTATCGCTTATTGAGCATGTCTGGGATAGGTAGAAGGCTGAGGCAGTTGCCACATCTTCTACTGGATGGATGTACAACGTCTACGTCATGAGATAAGATTAGCCTGGGAGAACAGAACCTATTACACTACAACATATTAAACAATACTAATAAACACAAAGCTATATGGGATATTATACAAGCTTCTCAGAAAATTCAAATCAGCCCCTCACAATCTCTCCAGAGCAGTTCAACAAGTTCTTCGTAAACATTTCAAACACTATATCAGCCAGTCTTCAAAAATCTGGTGCTGACCCTTCAGAATTAACCTCTACAATTATTCACAATAACTATGCAGTTTTTTTTAGCTCCTGTAATACCTGCAGAGGTAGTAAGTATCCTGAGTTGCACGAGCAACAGGAAAGCAAAGCATATCTTTGGTCTAAGCAACAAAATCTTGAAACAACTCGCGGAAGGACTTTCCCTCTCCCTTTCTATAATAATTATAAACAGATTCTTTGAGGGTGGGAAATTCCCAAGTAAGTTGAAAACGAGTAGGGTGATGAAAATGACCTCGGAAGCTATAGACCCATTTCTGTAGTTCCGGCTTTGTCAAAACCAATTGAGATCAGCCTAGACAGTCGTCTAACCATATTCTTAGAAAAGGGTAAGCTGCTGTCCAGCCACCAGTTTGGTTTTCGTTAGAAAAAATCTACAGCAAATACAATTAGAGCCCTGGTGAGGCATATATAGTTGGATGCTTCGAGGGGGTGAGTCGGTTATGGCCATCTTCTGTGACCTCTCAAAAGCGTTCGACTGAGTGTCACACCAGATACTACTAAATAAGCTAGGCTACTACGACATTAGAGGCAACACATTGCATATAATTGAGTCATATCTTTTAGACCGCTACCAGCTGGTGGATCTTGATGGTAAGAGGTCTTCGGTGCTGCCTGTTATTGCAGGTGTACCACTATTAGAGCCATTACTATTCATAAATTAACTTCCATCTATTTTTCCAGAATTGAAAAGAATACAGTATCTACGCAGATGATGCAACCCTCCTTGATCACCATTGCAACACTGCCCAGCTTCATCCTGCATGTGTTTCCACCATTAGGAAACTCCACACATGGTTCGCTGATGATAACCTCTGTTTGAACCTTGATATAACCGGAACCATATTCTTCTCCCTAAAAGAAAGAGATGAGGCCAATACCCTTAAATTCCTGGGGGTCCAGTTCGAGAGTAGGCTGACCTGGAAAAACCACAATATCCAACTATCTAAGAGTCTTTCTTGTACCCTTTATCTTCTCCGTAGAATTGCACCTATAACCCTCCATCAGAACGATTGGAAGACTGAAACCAACTTAAAGCTACAGACCTTTTCTTCGTGATCTCCAAAAACTGACCCTACCAGGTCTATTTATATAGCAATGCCTCAACTACATAAGAGCACATATATCTGAGATCTCAACAGTCAATAATAGTACCCAACTAGACATTAATTTATCAACACCGACTAATACTAACTCGTAAAACTTACATTAATAACAGCATAAAACTTTATATCTGCCTAGATCCTGAGATAAAAGCACTGCCTCCTACTTATGTTCAAAAATAGAATAAAAAAGTTACTTTTAGAATTGTCTCCCTACACTTTGGAAGAATTCTATGTCAATTCTAGATAGGAAAACAATACGTTCGAGGGCGCCCACAGGGAGGGTCAGGGGGGGGGGGGGTCACTCGACCCCCCTGGAAATTTCTTAAATTTTAATTATTTTCTATATATATTATATTGTAGGTCCGATGATGCTCGTATGAGCGAAACAGGCATACTTGAATTCGGCCACATACCACCAGGTAGCTGCAGTAATCCTACCTTTGAATTCGACCAAATCATGAAACCCAACCTACTTCCCATAAAACTTACCTTATGATGTTGACAGATTTCGCATTTCATATGAGTTAATAAATCTAAAAAAGTGTAAATATGTATTTTGATGCGCAAAATAAAAAGATCTACCAAAATGACTATGGAAAGATTCACAGGCATTTGTTTTCTTATCCAGGTCTATCGAGGCATGTGCCATGTGTCGATGAGATAATCTGAAAATTTAACTAGTATACCGATTTGCATATTGATAAATTGTCACCCTTTCCTTATTCCAGAACTGGTGAATTTTGTGGTTGAGTTCAAGGATCCCGGAGCTAAACACATGTCACTATTAAGTGAATCAAATAATAAACAATCTATGTGTTAACATGTGGCTTTTCAAATTATGTTTTTGCTTAAATTTTGCATTGCAAGTGTCACATTCAAATGGATAAATATCCGAATGTGTTAGTTTGTGAATCTTTAAATCGGCTTTCCATTTAAATTTTGATTTGCAAGTGTCACATTCAAAAGGATAAATATCCGAGTGTGTTGAAATGTGCCTTTGTAAATTACTTTTCTCCAAATTTTGCCTTGCAAGTGTAACATTCAAATGGATAAATACCCGAATGTGTTAGTTTGTGTATCTTCAAATCGCGTTTCCGTTTAAATTTTGATTTGCAAATGTCCCAGTCAAAAAAATTAAATATCCAAGTGTATCAATATGTTTTCATTCAAATGGCCTTCTCTTTTCAATTTTGCATTGCAAATGTTACATTTGAAATTCTTCTCATCCGAGTGTGTTAATATGTGGCTTCTCAAACTACGTTTGTGTTCAAATTTTGCATTGCATGTGTCACATTTAAAAGGATAAATATTAGACTGTGTTAGTTTGTGTGTCTTTAAACAGTCTTTTCCTTTGAATTTTGCTTTGCAAATGTCACATTCAAAAAGATAACTATCGAAGTCTGTTGATATGTGACTTTCCAAATTACCTTTTTGTTTAAATTTTCCTAATTTAAATTTTTCTTAAATTTTGCGTTGCATATGTTGCATTTAAAATTCTTCTCGTCCAAGTGTGTTAGGTTGTGTCTCTTCAAACTGCCTTTTTTTTAAATTTTGCTTTGCAAATGTTACATTTAAAATTCTGATTCTGCTTCTAAAATGATAATTTAGACTGAAGTGCCCTTTTTTACGCATAAAAAATTTATTCAATTGATTTTGACCCCCCCTACATATTTTTCTGCGGGCGCCCCTGAATACGTTTGTCATAATTGTTTGTTTTGTACTACCAATTATTATTGTTTAATTTATTAATTTATTATTTATTGTTGAATTGTGTCTTATAACTTTTGAGGTTTTATATGTACTGTATTTGTTCACTTATAATACCTATAGTCGTTGACAATGCTAAACATTTTATTGTATTTGTGCAAGTAAAGAATTTTATTATTATTATTTATTATTATGAATAAAAATAGGTGAGCTAAGCTTTTTATTAAACTTTATTTGAAAAGATACCAAGTTATTAATCTAAAAATAAATATACAAAAATATAGGAAAAATCATAAATTAAACATATAAATTAAAATCACATATCGATTATCATGTTTAAAGAACAAATATAAAGATAATCGATAACAGAGAAAAAACGAATGCCTAAGAAATAGTCTACACACTTTCAAACATGTAGATGTCGTTCTTATTCTTGCATTTCACTTCTATCAATTTTATTTCCAATTATACCAAGACATCGTATTTTATTGTACTTAAAATACCGTTCAATTTCTTTGCTATATTTATTGAAAATAAAAACATATGTAGCAGTCCCTAAAGAAATTTGAATCCAGACTCTAGCAGTTACATTGCTATTTTTCTGCTGCGGTATAAGAGTTTCGGTACATAGAGAGCAAAGGTATAGCATTTCCATTCTGGACATGCCCTTTTGTGTGTCCGTTTATTATTGGAGCGGCCGTAGCGCTATCTGCTGTCGGATAAGGCGTCGACCTGGTGTTCTGAAAGTTGATTTTCCTCTGGAGGCTTCTTTTGAATGCCTGATGGACTTCGTGGTTGGCGAAACAGAAGAGGATTGCACAACAAAGACCCTGGAATGTGAATTGAGTGTAATAATCTAACAGAAAATTACCTACGTTCTATGAATGTCTTTATTTCATATGCTGAGGTTGACTGTCCGCTCCCTTGTAAGAATAGAGAATGTTATTTTTTTGAATGGATTTCGTGTTTTTTTCTATTATTAATAATTTGTCATTTTCACCATTTCCCTGAGTAATTTTAATAAATGAAGAGAGTAGGTAATTTGATACAGAATGCGCTTCTCTTCTGGCATTTCAAGAATTTTCTTGAATTGTGATAGCTGATTGATATCAAGACATCTACCGTGGAATGTGCTATTTCTATATTAAGTATTTTGATCTGGCAGGAGAGGGTTAAATTTATGAAGAAGCCACAACAAAGATTTTCAAGGTAAGTGTTTAGTTATGTAAAAACAGTAAGTAAATAACGCTTTCATTTATTATTGGCTGAAATTCAGTCTTCCCACGCGTTTGTTCCCTCTGCATTCTTACTGTATACTGAAATGGGAAAAGAAACATGAAAATTTCTTTCAAGAAACAAAGATAGGTAGATACTATCAAAATTTATTGTTTCCTTTCCTTTGGAAAAATGTATTTCACAATGCCTTTGTCTTTCAAATTTTCCGAATTTGATGTCTTTTTGTGAAAAGAAAAGCTAACTATATGAAATGTAATCTAAGGTATACCTACATGAAAATGCAGACCCAACATAATTTTAAATTAGGAAAATTATGTTTTTTTTTACTTTTTAGTGAGTTGGAAGCTCTAATTCTAGGTACCTATGAACCTATGTTGGAGCATTTTTATTTGTTTATTTCCATTACCAAACTCCCAATTCTATTAACTTGAACCTCCGTAACACAGTAATCGTGAACACTCTAACTCCAAGACTCTATTAAATTACACTATTATATTGTATTCTTACCTGGAAAGCTGTGATAACCGCACTAACGTACTGGTAAGCGTAATACATGGGGTGCTGCGAATGGGGTTTAACAGGAATTAAAATAAACTGGAGTCCAAATAGCGGTGTCAAAATAAATGCAGCCCTCACTGCCTTTTTCATCCCGGCTGTAGCTGGATTTAGCGACGTCGGATGCATGATTGTTAGGATTACCCTTAAGATATTGAACAGGAAGACTGAAAAACAAAATAAGAATTTTCAGTCTGCCCAGGTTTATTGTTTGTTATATCGTGAAAACTTGTTTTATTTTATTTGCCCAATTTTGAGAATATGATTGGAAACCTCTATATCAACACACAAAAATAGAGCCATACTCGAAGCTTATTGGATAGGTAGCTACGTATGCCTTTATAGTTATGTGGTGTAAAATAAATAACGTTATTGCAAACTTGTTATTTTCACAGAATGCAAGCTCAGCATCTCCTAAAGAGCCTCTACAAATATTTAAGTTTCCACTTCATTTAAATTCCGATAAAACCTTACACACATAATTTGGATTGTTTTCCCCATTACTCTAGTATTTTGCTTATTCAGTTTGTGTAAACGAAAGTGCCCGAAATAAAACAAACAAAACTGAGCACAGGCCAAAGGTGCTCCACAATGAAATTAGATTTTTCGTACTTAAATATCCTTTAGCCGTATCAACATAATTTTCCAAAGAAGATGTTAATAATAATTTTTTGTGCATTTATCTTTTGTTGGAAAATAATTCCATGTATGCAATAATATAATCGTAAATCGTAAATCGACAGATTATTGAGATAATCTCCAGTGTCATGATGAACTATGATAATAGATGAAATGAAGGCTACTATTATCTAATTGAAATTCCCATCTTTTTTCATTTATCAATAAAATTTCATCCAGGACAAATTATTGACACTTTTTTTGCCGCTTCCCTATATTCTCTCTTATCAAATTCAAATAGTTAATGTTTGTTTTTGCTTCAGAGATGAGATTTTTTTTTAATGAAAAGTTTCCACCCGAAACAAATACTTACTCATAGAAAATGCCAACGTAATTACAATAGGGACACTGATAAACCAGGTACTGAAGGATATTTCTTCCATAAAACACCTGAAAAAGAAATGTTTAGGTTTGATAACAATAGAATAATGCTATTGTTTCTTACCTGCCAGTATCCTGGCTGTAAAACACTCTAACGAGGTTATGAACTAGAATTATAAAGCATGGACTGCCCCATCCTATGACATAGAACCATTTCATGGTTTTTTCTTCAGCGAGAAACACTAGAACTAAAGCTATATGGAGGTGGAGCGCTTCACAGAACATCCACATGTAGTTGGCTACCATGAAGTATTCTTTGGCTACGTAGAGTAGCTGACACCAAGCCTAGAAGAAGAAACATAGCTTGCAGGATGGTGATCTAAAAGTAGAAACTAATATTTTGCCAATGAGAAAATTTTAATAATAGGGAGAATTCTTACAGGATTTGCACTTGTAATATTTACATTTGTTACTACCATGGTGTACCATAAAATATTCAACATGTTACTTATGGTAAATGAGATAAATAAGTGGATGTGGATCCTTATCCTTGTACATCGTAGGGTCCTGAAAAATATTGGAAAAATGGCATATCAGAAGCAAACAAATATCAACTTACCTAAATAAAAAAAATATTATTATCGATATTATCAAAGCCACTGACGATATAGAATATCCGATGATGTACAGGAAATTAATGCATCTATAAAACTAAAAGGTTATTAATTTTTATTTATTTGGCTTTCAAGAAAAACCATTACCTCTAAAACTTCATCGGAAGATCTAGCACAATGTTGATAATCGGTCCAAGTAACGTTTTCCTCGTTGACGTACCAAGATCCATTTCCCAAACATTTTTTAAAAGCCAAATGAGTTTGTTGTGAAGGACATGATTGATTGGCAATAGTTCCAGGTGGTGTTTCAGGCCAGCAAAGGATGCTATCGAAAATTTCTGGACACCAACCTGAATCAATTTTGCACTTTTAATATTGGAACATTTCGAAAGTGCAGAGATATGGAAGAGAATTCTTGATTTTTGTGACATATTGTCAACTACTTAAGTAAATACCACTCTGTACTTCAATTTTACTAAAGTGTGTCGACGAGTCGGCATTTATTTGGTATAAATACTGAGCCGAAATTCATTACCGGCAGACTAAGGCTAGTGCAAAGTATCTCAAATGGGAAAAGCCCCTCTAGCTAAGTCTCCTCCTAGTGAAAACTACCTTTAATGGGAAACGCCCTTCTGGGAGTATTGAACTTAGCAGACTAGGTCCATTGCAAACTACCTTTAATGGGAAACGCCCTTCTGGACCTGTCTCAAACCTAGCTTCTTCTGAGAGCATTGAACGCAGCAAACTAGGTCCAGTGCAAACTACCTTTATTAAGAAACGCCCTTTTAAACCTGTCTCAAACCCAGCTTCAGTCTTCAGTCACGCCAAGTGTACAGAGTGTACATAATACAGAGTGGCCTATAAGTAGTACGTCCCTCCGTAGAAGAGACGTCATGCTACTATTTCTAGGGTAATATTATCATTATTCAATACATTATCTTATTATACCTATACCAAGCGAGTTTATCTCTACCTGAACCTCACCTATACGCCCCCAGGTCACGCTCCTGTTGTGACGGCTCAGGACGAACCGTATAGGGGTTGTGACATAATATACATTAAATTATTCGTGGGGGAAGACTTTGAGTTTTTCTTTTGAATTATATACATATATTGATTGAAACATTTCAAAGAAATATGGAAATATCTGATAAATGTAAGATTTACAGAATTTCAGTTAAATAAGCTTTTGTCTCAGGGGTTTTGGAATGGAACGTATTTGAGATTATATGCATGCGACGAAACAGAAAGCAATGCTTATCTGTACAGCCCTTTTTTAAATAAAAATATTTCGGATACTTAGTTTTTGTGGAGGTTGAACTATCCCCGAAAAAGCTGGAACCAGCTTTTCAGAAAAATTCAATCGGAAAATTGAATCTTATTAAATTTATTTGAAAAATGCACCGATAAAGGAACAATAAGCTTTGTTTATGAAATTAATATTATAAATCTCTCAAGTTGGGGAAATTGTACACAATCTTGCAACACTGCCTGATCATTAAAAGGCAATCAAAACGAACGGAAGAGAATTATCTTTACAATTCTAGAAGCAAAAACGCGCTATAAAACGGAGTCAATGGCAAATTAAATGCCACTGTATCAAGAATCCATTAGATGAACGTGATTGTTATGATTTAGTTTTGCTGTGTACTAGTACCATCATGACTTTTGTCTTGAGTTAAAGTAAATTAATTTTGAAAGAGTGATCTCACTCTACTCTAAGGGGAATCGAGAAATAGATCCAGAAAATGTCCAGGCTGGGACCAGACTAAAGAACAAAGCGAAGGGAGGAGAATCCTATCATGTTCTTTCAATCATTTATAGTCTTTTGTCTCTCCTATATTATGATTCTCCGCATTCGTAAGGTCTTTGTAAAATAATTTTTTGTGTTTTATTTTCGTTAAACATTTTCTTGGTAATTTGCATTTTCATCCGTTCTTTGAACTTTTTCTGAATCCTTTGATGTATGGTATTTTTAGAGTTGGTAGTTCTTATTCTCGGTTTTTTCTCCAAACACGTTTGATTCTTTTCATGAGAATATCCGAGTTAGTACACATTTTAAATTAGATCTTCTTTGATGTTTTTTATTTCTTGGATTTAGCTGCCTAGGTATTGCATGAATGTTTTGCTCTATCTAGTGATGAATAATTGACGATCCCCTCTTGTGTCATTTGACTGTGGTTTGAGTTGAAATTCCGTAAACACCACAGTACATCGACTGCTTTGTTACATATAACTGACGATACTTTTTCTGCACGGGACCATGGTCTTTGCACTTGTCTGATTTTGCTGAACTACAGTAAAGCATTTGATACTATAAACTATGACGTTCTGTGGATAAAACTTCAGTATTTTTGTATGGGCGCAATGTCCTTCAATTTTTTCAGCAGCTATTTTACTGATAGGTCTCAAAGAGTGGTAATTTGCGGACAGGCCTCAGACATCACTCACCTTAATAGAGGTACGTGTTGCTCAGGGAAGCATCTTGGGCCTCCTACTGTTCTTTTTATATACTTCAGACTTCTCATCTTTCTTAAAATTTTGTCACAGCTACCAGTATGCAGATGACACCCAAATATATGTTTCTTTTAAACCTGAGAATATCATAAACGCCATCGAATATATCAACTCAGATCTCAAAACAATTGCTGAAATATCTAAAGCACATCAACTGTCATTGAATATAAGACAAAAACACAACTTGTGATATTTGGAAAAAATAGAGACATGGTGATGAGAAGCCCTGAACTTAAGATTAAAATTATTGATGTTGTTTTAAGGCCTTCAACTGCATGTAAAAATCTGGGTCTCACTATCGACTCTGATCTGAGATTTTCTGCTCATGTTTCCAACCTAGTTCAAAAGGCTTTCGGTTAACTGAAGCTTCTACATATGCATAGAGATAGCTTTAACACTGACTCGATGTTGAGATTGTGCGATTACTTGTTGCTGTCTCATTTAGGTTATTGTGATGTAGTATGTACTGGCTTGCCTTGACCCAACGGGATAAGTCCACCTTGCAAAAGATACAGAATGCCTGTCTGCGATATGCTTACGGTGTCAGAAAATGTGACCATATATCTCCATTTTTTATCCAGTCTGGTTGGTTAAATTTGTCCGAAAGATGTTTTAGCCACATGTCAACTTTGCAGGTTTATAAAATCAATAAGCTTGATGCCCCTAAGTATTTTGCCAAAAAACTGGTCAAACGATCTGACATACATGAGAGACACACTCGTCAGTGTGACACGCTTTCCATGCCCCGACATACCACGAGTCTCTTCCAACGATCTTTCAGATTCAACGCGGTTTCTGTTTTTAATTCCTTGCCTGATGACGTCAGGAAAGCTAACTCTCTGGAGATGTTAGGGAGGGAGTTGAGGGCTTTTGTGTTCGCCCAGAGAGATCGGGATTGAAGATAGTTTAGAAATTGGTTCAGAATAGTTCATTTCAGTATTTAGTATTGAATAGGTATCGGTAAAAACTCACCAATTGTTAGTATTAAGTTACAGGGTGGTTGTATGAGCAGCTTAAGTTGAATACCGCCACCTCTCAAATATTATTGTAAATGTTATGTTAGTTATTCTAAATAACGGCATTTTTTTACTACTAACCTGAGAAATAGTCATTATTCAATCTATTTTCCTAAGAAAAAATTGAATTTCTCTCCCTAGGTGAATAATGAAAATAATGCAAAAATACCTAGGTCAATAATGAAAATGACGTCATGATGCAAGGATATTGTCATGTTTCTATAGGTTCAATTTCAATTTCATACGTCAATTAAAAAAAAAAAACAGGTTTCTGTAGGTATATATATAGGAAGTTATCATAATCTTTTGATAGAGGGCAGCACTTTCAAGATGACGTTCAAAAAAAATAATTCAGAGCACAAGTTTTAAACAAATTTTTTATTTTCTACTAGCAGAAGTAAAAAAAATTCTATATATTCCTCGGTAGAGAAAGTCATTATATACCTCACGCATTATAAACCTCGGCGCTTCGCGCTCGGTATATAATGACCAACTTCTCTACCTAGGTATATAATATACTATTATTATTATTATTATTATTCAATTTAAATTTGTCAAAGACTCCAAGCACTTGGTAGAAGTTTTGACGACAAATCTGATGATGGCAGTGACAATGAAAAAGACCCAAATATCGCTGACAGGTGAATGTCAAATATTTCTGAACGTATTTAAACCCAATAAATACTTTTTCTCTAGAGAACATTCATATCTTTTTAAGATTCAATGTACACAATAGGAGAGTGGTCTCATCTTATTCAGCATTATAAAGAACATTAAAAAATGCTCATCACTGGATATTTTAGTCAACTTGAGTTGTTCAACATGCACTTTCTCCTATACCTACCCCCAAAGGATAATCCCGAATAGCATTGAAGTAATATAAGGATTCAATGGTTCATATAAATTTGCCTATAGAAATTGTCTTGTATAATATAAAAATTATTATTTATGGAACAATAATTCTGTTTTGCCCTGCTCATAGTTGTCTGTTTCATAACGGTTTTCCGTCAATTTCAGTGTATTGTTTTATATAAAACAACAAAACCCTATTGTTGCTGTATATTGTTACTCAATATCCACCAGTCTTTTGTTTATTCGAACAACAAATTTTAACTTATTGGTTTCAATAATGAAAACAGCCCTCGAAAGTACTTACCTGGTAACGCTGTACTTTTATTTCCACAAATCACTATATCATTCAGATAATCATAATATTCACCTCCGCTGTAGTTCGCCATCTTAGTGCTAATTACCTGAAACTAAATTTTTTAATTAGATTAAGCTATATTCTGTTTTGTTTACCATTTACTAACAAGGTTCGGTTCGCAAACATGTCATTTACCGTACTGTTCCAGGCAAACACTTGAAGAAAAAAAAAATGGATCGATGTTTAATTTAAACATTAAAATTTTGTAATCTTTCGATGGGAGAATCAAGCTTTTTGGCATAAGATACTATAATACCTAATAATTTAGTTGTAATTATTAGGTACTTACAAGTATGTATGAGTACTTATTTTTATCAAACACTCCAAAATACCCTACACTTGATTTTCAATGGGCTTTGCCTTATCTCATGCACCTAAATTTGGTGGAAAAAAATTTGAGATAAATTATCAAGTAGGTATTGTAATAGAAAAGTATTCGTGTTTACTTATAGGTACATTAGTGTTACCTCTATATGCACTTATACTTAATGTTTTCATTTTTTCGCGAGTACCTAATTGTTTTGCTGAATTTTATTTGTACAAATTCCTAGTTGTGTACCTACTTACTAAATTTAAAAAAAAAAATCTGCTCTTAGTGTAATTTTTGTACCTATTTCATCCTTTATTTCATCTATGCGGACATATTTGTTACGAATATGCATCGACACCAGGATTCTGAAAAAAATTCTTGTTTACGTTGCGCAGCGCGTCTTTCTGGGAATTCCATACCCTATATTCGATTCTATGTTTTCCTAGCTAGATCCGTAGTGCAATTTCGACTACATGAATAGAGCGTAGTGATAAGTTAGTCAGTTTTTATTCGATATTTGTCATGAATGTTTCGATAAGTGATGAGTGAATTTTGTATAAAGTCAATTAGTTTAATTACTGTGAAGTGAGTTTTAGTGAACCCGGAATTCGTGACATTATTATAGTATTTTTAAACAGTTAACTAGCCCTAGATTCTGTGTTTATAATTTATTTTCTATTGCTGAAATTTAAGATTTAAGGTTCAATGCATATTTTTCAAGCTTTGTCAATGAGTTTTGGTCTTCGGACAATGAAGCTTTATCTGATTCTTAATTTCGATAGATATTGGAAGCAAACTTAAGTTTTCTCAATCAAGAACGTACATATACTGGCAAGATTTCATAACAAACCGTAAATCAAATTCCCCCTGATCGAATTTACACCTTTCATCAATAAAGCAATAAATTTGGAAAAAAAACAATTAAAATCTAGCTCTGGTTTATTATTTGAAACAATAAGCACATTTGAAGTTTGAAGTCCTTGTTTGTTTACAGTAACTTTATAATGTGTTGCCGGTAATTGACCTGAAATTGCTGTTAACAGACAATTAAAATGTTTCAGTGGTCTATTACGACTTGTTAATGACCAAATTTTTTAAACTTTATTATTGTGGATGAAGTATGTATTTTATCTTAGTGAATTTTCTATATATTTCAAGTGAGCTGATTGCGTCCCTCGTTTTTTTTGACTCTTAATAAAAATTTAGTTGAAATGTAAATTAAGAACTATGGGCAATATGGTGAAGCTCCATAAAAATGATAATGGAGATGGTAATTTTGTGATTAGGTCGACACACTTACTTGGTCTAAGTTCTCATCTAAGTGCAAGGACCAAGCACTTCTGGACCGTGTCAACCTGGTTCAATTGATATTTTTGCATTTGTGGACTTAACTTAAATACTTTATATTTATAGAAGATATTCCTACTTGCATTATATGTATAGTTGTCGTTAGATGTCTTTCTAAACTATATCAACTTAATCGATAGAAGAATGAAATTTTCCTTAAAGTAAGAGAAACCTTTCCAGTCTTGATTGAAAAGAACATCTATTTCAAATCAACATTAAGAAGTTTATTTCAAAAGGAATACACCCCATATCTCTTGCACCACTCAATAACTAGCCTAGCCTAACAGGACATAATGCAATTTCTATAAACTTTTATACCGTAGTCGTATTATTTGAGAATCAAGCTTCGGTTTTGCTTCCTAAAACTATAACTCACCAATACGTATTTATAATGAAAAATCCTTCCTATAAAAATGTGTTATTTCAAGAATATTTTTAGAGAATTTTGTATATATCGTGCTGACACAGAGATTCATAAATGCTTAACAAAATAAACCTTTGAGCCAGAAACAGAATGCATATTTACACAAAATACTAATATCATAAAATTCGAGTGCTAAATTATTTTTTTTAGAGTCCTGATGGCTGGTTGATATTGCTGCATGCAGCATGGACAAAAAAAAAACACATGGGCAGGGTATACGTTAATAATATGAAAAAAAAAAACCAAAAATGAACTCACATCTCAAAATTTAATGTTGGTTACTCTTTCCCAGTTGATTTTCAATTATATCCTCAATAGTCCAAAAGAAAAATACCTATACTGCTGAAAATTTCTTGGGAATAATGAAGCATGGTAATGTATCATCAGCCAAAAGGGAAGAAACTTTGAAAAAGACAAAAATTTGTCGAACTTTCAAGCAAAGTCTGTTGGAAACTGGAGGTTGTATTCTAAAAATACATTGCTGTCCCCTTGTTTTGCTCAACTTTCGAAACTAAAAGCAGTGTAATCGCAAGGCAGACACTAATTTATTGACGACAATGTTCTAAAATTAATGATCAATGAAAAGTCAAATAATGATTAATGCGTGCGAAAGCCTAGTATGCTCCGGCTTTTATCATCAAGGACTATTATAGTATGATTTACCTTTTGTTGTCTCACGATTTTGAGAATTGTGTGAGAATTAATATGTGATCGTTAAGCTGCTTTCAAAAGACAAAACCAATTAAGAAATATCGAGAGTAATCTTTCAAAATTTTTTCAAGGAAAATGGAAATAAGTAATTCAAATTTCAAGGACAACCTGTGGTACTTGATGGAAATACAAGTTTTTTTTGGGTGAAGCAGAAAATTGCCCCCTTGCAAGTTGAAATTGATGAAAACAGCGATTATTTATTCATTTAGGTACAATAATAATAATTAGCCTCTGATTTTGAGCAGACTTGAAGCCCCGCTGAATATTTTTATTAGGAAAAAACTATGGGGCTTAACCCAAACTACTAAATTCAAGTTAGTTTGGTAGCAGATTTACCATTAGTGGAAACTTATCAAATCCACTTGCTTTATCAGTATCAAGCTCTATATAGTATAATTCTCTTTCTAAAATAGGTAAAAATAGTTGTACTGTGTGTCATATTTTGCTAGCAAGTTTCAAAAGTAATTAATTGTTCATTGTCACCTTTTTTTTTTTCGACAACATTACGCGAGTATATAAGATTATATCTTAATTGGAAGTTATTTTTTCACGTGTCTCGTGTCTTGTTTTCGTATCTTACGTAAGCAACAATGTTTGCTGGAAGCGAGGCGACTGTTTTCGCGATAATCCCTGTCTTCGGCGACAAAGTGCCTCTAAAATTGTTTCCTTATTTTCCCACTTATTTTCCCTTAAGGAAAAAGCAAAAATGATGGAATAGAAAGATTGGCAAATTTAAATTATTTTTCGAATATTCATTTTGTAAGTTCCGCACTTTTCGTCAATAAAGTGGAAATTGGCAGGTCCGCATTATCCATTAGGCCCGTGCCTAGGGCCCATAAAAAAGAGGGCCCGCTACGACGTATCATAAATCATTTAGAGGTACTTTTTGCTTTACTTTATCACCGTTATAGTCACGAGTGCTTGAAGATTATAGTGATTCCTACGAGACCGACAACACCAGACTTTCATGAAGTCTTGTCTCGCAGCCTCGAGTCTCGTCTAGTCTCGCATCTCGTACGAGAGTCTTGCAAATGCCTACTTCGTCTGCACGCACAAATATTCACCTGCGAGACTCCCGCACTAGACTCGAGACGTCTCGCAGTCTCGCACAAGGCCAATAAAAGTCTCGACTCGTTTTGTCCGATTATCAGACACAATAGTTTGCGAAAGCTGACTTAAGAACGAGAATGTTCAAATAACAAGACTTTATAACTCACTGACTGCTGACAAGGAAAACAAGATCCGAAGCTAATTAGTCAAAAGACCGAGTCTTAATCAGAACGCGTACATTTTATATAATGTTTTTATCAGAACATGAGAACAAAGATAAATCTTTGCCGACATCTGTTGATATCTACAAACTGATTAAAGACCAGAATCTGCATACTTTTCCAAGCATTGGGAGAACGTTGAGAAAATTACGCAGCATCAAAATTACGATTAGGTACCTATATATGTCACATTTTGATTCGAAAATTTTGAAATATTTCACTTTACCAACAAACTTCTGAAGACTCAGTCATTCTAAGTATTCACGCGGTGTTCATTATTGCCCATTAGTGATGAAAATGTTGACGAACAAATTTTGGTAATAACATAACACGTAAAAATCATTCAAGTGGAAATCAGTTTATCTTGTCAAGAATTTCAGTATTAAAATACAACATTATAATAGAAACTGATTTCAAAAAAAATAACCAATAATGACTCGTCTAATGGTGATAACCTCTCACATCAGAGGTGGAGTAGATACCTACCCTGATAAGCCAGTTAGTAGTCCGCGATATAAAGAATTCACTTAGATAAAGAACTACCAGAAAAGAAGTAGTGCCACGCAAATAAATGGAAACTAAAGAAGCTCAGAGCACTTTATACATAAAGAAAAAAGTTCTAGATCTTCCAGAAATACAGACTTGTGTACTCCTCTAACACTCCAGATTCTCCAAATCAATCCAACTTTCAGTCGAACAACTCTTGAAACTGCGAAGCACTTTCAATCACATGGAAACTAACCCAACAAGTGGTACAAGATTTCCTATCAACCAAAAATACCAATAAAATAAAATATTATGTAAGTTTAAAATTCAGAATATTACCTACCCAAGCGTTTGAACGTGAAACTTCCCAGACATCATTTCCAACAATTAGCTTGGTGCGAAACATCAATCAGTTCAAGCCATAAGCAAATCCTTTCGAAGATAGATTTTCCATCTAAACTATTTATGTGATTAAAATAATTGGGGTGCTTAATTGAACAAAA